AAACTGGCAGGAAGTGCTTGTTCCTGGGGCCAGTACCTGCCTCTGCAAAGAGGAAGCAGTTCTGCTAGGTCTGTGAGGGCCCCAGGTAGTGACTGGTTAGCTCTCAAAAGGTCCACTGGAAGAAGGCCCCTTTAGTCTGAAATGAAGATGGGGATAACAGCTCTCAAAAAAAAACCAGAGGGGATTCTCTGAAATACACATGACAATGTAAGTAATGGAGGCACGATACAAGTTTTCAGCTTTTGAGGCAGAAGCTAAGAAAACGCCGGCAATGCTTGCTATTGGCCCCTCCATTGTTCCTTCCCAGTCCTGGGGATTTGAAGGGAATGTGCAACTAACTGCTCGGGAACCAGCACCGCCTTCCTCTCAGCCACTTCTACATTTTGTCAGTAGAGGGCGCTGGATCACCATACTCCCACTCTAGCCTTGTCGTTAGCAACTTGATCCCAGTGTCCATATAAAGACCACATTTCAGGAAGTGTTTCTGATGTTTATGGTTTAATATTACATAAGAAAAAAAAAAGAAAAGAACAATAGAGCACAAGCCTGCTTTTATAACATCACCTATGGAAAAAAAGGTGTTGAGAGGCATGGGTGGCTTGTAGCAGAAGTCTCACTTTCCATGCAGAGGCCCAGGACGGATTTGCGGCCAATGCACCCCATGCACCCCACGCGCAGCTGCTCCTCATCCATCCCTGGAGGCTGTGTGTTGCTATGGTGCTGAACAGGTTTCAGTGGAGCTTCTAGACTAAGATAGACTCACACGAAAGGCCTGGCAAACTGCTTCTGAGAATCAGCCAATGAAAGCCCTATGGGCCACAATGGTCTTACTGTAACTGACCACAGGGATGACGCAGGATGAGTTGGCTCCATTGTGTGTGGAGTCACCAGGAGTCGGGGGCCAGCTCGAAGGCAGTTCAACAACAATAAAAAGTGTACAGAGAAAAGACTCGAAGGAAAGATAACATAAGGCTACGAGTATTTTCTCACAGGAAATGGAATTTCTACCTTTCTGTTATTTTCTATATTCTGTGGATCTTCCACACACTTGAATCACTCTCACAGTCAGAAAAAGACCTGACGGTGCACAGGGACTCTGCGTGTCCACCAGCACAGGGTCCTCAGCTGTCTGAGAAGCCTTTGCCAGCAAATTGAATATACGCCTGGATCTGGGCTGAGCACTGGAGAAAACAAGGGACAAGACGCAGTCCCTGCCTTCAAGGAGTTCTGTCTGGGAGAGGAACAGGACACAGAGAGACGGCTGCAACATAACATGAATCATAACTACAGAGTCATGTTCACAGAGGAGAGTCCAGCACAGGCCCAGTCACAAGGGCTCAGGGAAGGCTTCCTGGAGGAGGGGTCATATGAGCTGAAATCTAAAGGCTGAATAGGAAAATAAGAATGAGTCAGGCAGGGATGCAGGATGCATTTGATGCACAAGGATCAACAGGAAGGGGAGAGGAGGCTGCCACCAGTCCAGCTACAGCCCAAAGTTTGAGGCTGGAGGCGAGAGAGAGGAGACGAGAGAAATTAGGGGAGCTGGACACCAAGGTCTTGATATGCCTTATTGAAGAGCCTGGCCTTTATCCTACAGGGAATGGGAAGTCACTGAAGGTTTTAAGCAGGGGAGTGCTGAGGGCGGATTTGCTGCTGGGTGGAGGCAGTTGAATGTGGATAAGACCAGACAGAAGGTTTCTGCAATCCACTGGGTGAGAAGGCCCTGAACATCAGACAAAAGAAAACAGCCCCTCTGAAATGACTGTGACTCCACGGAGGCTGAGCACTGAGTGGGAGAGGGGTGAGGAGACTGAGAGCTAAGGGTAACATTTAAAGGGAACAACTTTTCATCGGTCTTAGGAAAATCACACTCACCACGTGACTTCATACTTCAAAAAGGAGCTTGATTTGCATTTAATCTATTGAAAGAAAATAACTCACTCTGGCTGAGTGCAGACATGGTATGAGGTGTGGTACATACTTTTCTCATCAAATTTCCACATCAACTCTGCAAGGGGAGAGGATGAGTTTCATCCTGCAGATGAAGAAATGGGCTCAGAGAGGAGACAGACCTGAGAAAGGGAGAGTGGACTTCAGCGGAGGAGTGCCCAGCTCTCCTGCCGGGAACCTGTGTCCTCTGTGCAGGACACACCCAGGTATCACCCAAATGGCCCACACTCGCGGGAAGACACATCAGACTAGGACTGTGACCAAAGTCCCTCTCTACGTGCTGCTGCTCAGTTCCCACCTAAGAGCGAACTCAACTGCAGCCTCATCCAGCATGGGCCACAAGTAGACACAGAAGGCAGGGAAGATGTGTTATCGGAGCCCTGGCGGCTGTGGCAGACGGCTCTGGGGCGAGCGTGGATGCCAGGAGTCAGGGCTGTGGACATACATCCCCAGAGGAGCCAAACCCTCAGCACTGCCTGTAAGGAGAATTGTCAGGGAGGGAACACACATTCCACAGAGGAAGAAGGTGCGACCCACCCGAAAGCGCAGTACAGCCGAGTGGCAGCCTGGTCTGGGAGCTGGCGGTGGGGCCACAGCAGAGTCCAGCCAACACACCCTCTCTTGCAACTGTTTGCCTCGTATGCTTTACAGTCAGCATCTGATTTCAGCTCTGTGTGGCAGATGGACAGAGACTGTATTTTCTAAACACAGGGATATGACAATGCACTGATGCGAAGGGGGAGCAAGCTGTTTGAAACTGGAGCTCTTCTGGAAAACCTCAGCCTGCTGTACACAGGAACACAAGCATCACCTGGGGCTCAGCACGAGGGGGGGGAGCTCACACTCAGCTCCCGGAGCGTGTGCAGAGACAGGAGGCTTCAAGGAATAAAATAACAGACTCATCGTTTCATAACTCTTCAACGGAAGATTTGAATAGGTAATCAGAATTTCTTTCTTTCTTTTTTTTTTTCTAAATCTAAGAATACTATATAGGAAAACAATACCAAATAAATAAATAATAATAATAATAAAAAAAACCTGATGTATTAGGTACCTCACATAGGTGTGCATACTACCTGTAAATTACCTGCACAGCAAGAGAGAGGAGCTTGGGACAGACAAGTGGGTTTTACTGGGGAGCATGATTGTAACATTCAATTATCCTCCTGCATACTGGCTGACTTAACTCAGCCAAATTAGAATACATTTTATATTGACTATTTTGACATTTGTTTTATTTGGCAAGTAAAACAAAACTGATCCAATTTCCTTGCAGCCATTGTAAACCATAAACTGTACAAGAGGTTATAAAATATGTAAGCCTTATAAACACTTCGTTCTGACGCGCTACCCTCCAGTTCTGGCCTGCTGTTCTTGAGCCCCTTCCCTTCAGTTGCAAGTGACCCTTCTGTTACCACAAGCTTCTCTGTGGATCACTCTCCCTGCTTTATCTGAGAGAACCACTTTTCTTTCTTTACTCAATGGAATGTTAAAGCCTGCCCTGAGGAGGCGTTCATTTCTGGCCCTTCCAGATCATGTAAGGTCAATGGGGGTGGCTGGAACTGCTTCAAGGCAACAAGGCCTCTTTCATGCCCAGGACAACCAATCCTCTGGTGGGGAAGGCGGTGGGACTCCCTCTGGTCTCTCCACTGAGCCCTAACCTGAGCTGACCTAAGCTCCCACCGTGATGGAGACTGGCACTGAACCCCAGCACAGGTGATGCACTTGAGCTGACCCCAGCATAGGTGATGGAGGTGGGCTGACTCCAAGCCCAGGTGATGGTGACCCTCAGCAATGCTCCCCAGCACACAGCTGTGACAGTGCACTTGGTCCATGAGAAAGGAACATGCAAGTGTGGAACTGAGCTGTGCTCACATTCCTGAGCACAACAAAGAGACTCAGCCGCTCAAACCTGCATCCCTGGGAAGCTCAGAGCTATTCATCTCTTTTCATGCCAGAGTGGAACTGAAAGCCCTTCTAAAGTTTCAGGTGGTTCTAGGGGTAGTTAACTTTAAATACCACTCTTGTTTGTGAAACTGTCACGAGAAAGACCAGACTGTTTTTATAGGGGCAAGTTTCAAAGGACAGGGTCTTCGGAGAGGCGGGGCTCATTACAGGTGTTCCTGTGAGTGAGGAGGACTCAGGGAGGATGAGGGTTTGCAGGAGAACACCCCTCTCCCTGAGGCAGGGTGTGACTGTGGGTGGGTGTGGTCCCAGGGAGGAGGGCACCTTGACTGTTTCTCAGTTCCTGACAGACTGTGCTCATCTCTATCCTCCACACAGAAGCCTTTACATCCATTCTTATACACCAATCCCCAAAAGACCCTGTCTCACCAATTACTTATTTTATTTACTTTTTAAATCCCTTTCTCAAACTTAATCCATCATTGCTGTTTGTTCCTTGTCTTCCATTTGCTGCTGGTGATGCACAAGTTCTTTATCACCAGCGGTTCTTTATGACAGGATTCTTTTTACCATCTGCTTTCTGCAAAGCTATGGAAACTACCACTACCTTTAATGACCGAAATCAGTTGCAGCGATAAGCCGGTTTGCTTCTCCAAGTGCCTCTGCGGAAACAATTATTAAAAGTAACATCTCCTAAAAAAACTTCTCACCATTCTCTCATACCCAAAACACCCATTTCTTAAATGGATTTTGGCTCACTGGGAAAAGGAACAGTATGAAAATGAACATAACTACTTACGAACCCTCCTGGGTTTCCAATGAGTTGCTGGTCGAGGCAGAAAAGGAATTCCACCCTTCTCAGGCCTGTGACCCCAACTACATGGTTACAAAGCACGTGTCTACGTGTAGCTCTAAGCTCCCTGGAACAGCCAATTTTACGTTGTATGCTCTGCTGTTATAAGCCTGTAAATTCATGTAACACAGAAGTTCCTAAATGGATTTTTAAAAATCTCCTCTAAAGATCTATTGCTTCTACAGTTTTCCTGCCGTGTGCTGCAGATACTACGCAAAGGTGTTCTACGACGTTACATGGCAGGACTCCAGACCGCAGAGCTGTGCACAGGACACCACGGGCAAAGCCTCACCTGGGAAGGTTGGGGGCTGGGGTGGAAGCGGCGGATGACTGGGAAGGTGTTGTGGGTTGAGATGAATCGTGGTTTCTTGGTACTCTGCCCATTCGATACCAGATCCCCATGTTGTTCAGTTCCCTTCAGGAGAAAAGAGAAATCTTTATGGTGCTGTTTAACACAAAGCATTTACCAGAGTGACAAAGCAAACCGACTCATTTAAGAGTCACAGCCTGAACGACCAGCGAATCAATTCCTGCCCATCCGAGATCAGTTACATCACCTCCCTTTGTACTCTGGGTGTCAAGGTTCAGAGTCTAATGTGAGGGCAGCTCTCCCAACTAGGCACGACTTGACAACACAGCCATTTTCTGCACCCACCACAGAGCGTGCCTTCCTACTGCTATTGATATTTCCCTTATTTCTCATTTTTAAAAATTCTTTTTACTTTACCAGTTCATTGTAGGTATTTAGGTGGTAATCCACTTCAAATCCTTTTTTGCAATTAGGGTGAAGCAGACAGAAAAATGGATTGACAGACATGTATGCCTGGTTTTTAACACAAGAAGAATCAGGCCCACCCTACTCTACAAATGGTCCTATTTCAGGTGTCTAACCAAAAAGACTCAGCCCACTGCCACTGAGTCCACTCTGACTCACGGTGACCCTGTGTGTTACGGAGAAGGACTGCTCCACAGGGTCTCGTTGGCCGTGATCGTGATGGAAGTAGAGCACTAGGCCTTACTTCCACAGCGCTGCTGGGTAGGTAGGTCTGCAGTTGAGTCCAAACTGTTTATACCACCCAAGGACCCATCATTTCAGGATATAACCCCTTAAAGCTGAGATGGCACCTACACTTGGCCTCATTCTCAAGGTCAGCCAATCTCCTGCCGTGTTTTGGGGACATCTTAAAACCGCAAAGCCCCAGGCACATGCCTTACCCACCACCTCAACTAAGAGTGGGCACAAAAGGGCCTTACAGATGCCACACCAGGCTCTTTAGTATACAGCCCCTGGCACACACACGCAGAGGCCAGCCTTGTACACACAGCCATGACTGTTTATGAGGCAGGTATGTTCTTCAGCATTGTAACGGGGCTATTTTAGTCACATCCAGTCTACAACTTCTCAATTGCCCCACAGAACTGGATCTTTGTGATGTGATAGAGATATGTGATAAGGATATCATCTCTTCAAAACATGAGAACAGATTTATTCTGCAGGCACTTATAGTAAGCTGCTCAGAACACCGCAAGACATATTATTAGATGACAGATTCCAACCAGCTTTTCCGATTTTACCCTATCTTAGTCACGGCTCCAAGATGTCAGATCTCGTTCTTAACCTGAGGTTTCCGTCTCCTCCAGCTGACATGCCAAACCTTTGCAAAGTAACGTGGAATTGTGCCCATTTTTAAGAATAAGTGACTTCAAGTTCTACATACTGAACTCTCTTTTCTTACTTAAAAATAACACTAGAATTTTTTTCCTCTGGAAAAGAACTTTTGTGCCAAGATGAAACAAAAATATACTTTATTTGGCAATCTTTTCAAAATGCCAAAAAACAAAAAGACTCCAGTTTTGATTATCAAGTCATGTATGATAAAAATCTATTCTTTGAGATTTTAAATTGTTTTAAAAAAGAAAGCTTTTAAAATACTATAGTTTGTCAAAATACAGGCACATTGAACATTTACCTGAGGTAGATACACTCCTTGGAGAGAACAATCATGGGAGAAAGAAGGGCTGCTTATGCACAGGGAGACAGTTCAGGGGGCAGGAGTGCATGGAGGATGGACACAGGGAAGAGGTAATTATTGGGAGGAAGTGGGAGGGGAGCTGTTGCATTGGGGTAAATTATAGTGAATGTCGTGAGAAAAAGTGTATGTGAACTGCTGTATGGAAAGTGAATTTGCTGTAAACTTTCACCCAAATCACAATTAAATATATATATATATATATATATATATATATATATGTATGTATACACTATAGTTTGTAATTAAAAATACATATAACAACTGAAATTGGACTTTGAAAGTTCATGATCAAAGTGTTAGTTTCTATTATTTGCACGTAAACAGCTGTTTCTAAGGTACTTGAAGCATGGTTATTATTTCTTAATTATTTCCTGCTCTTATGATCCTGTTTACATAATTAATTTAAACAATGTGGCAAAACAGGATTTTTGAGCATGTTGGAAGGCAAGGATCATAGATTCCATCTTAAGAAGCACAGAATCAGAGCAGTCAGACTGCACAGCTAAAGAATCTAAAGAAACTGTTAATCAGCAACCATGCTGAAAACAATCTCTATATGTGTGATGCCTCCTGCCCACACTGTGCCAAAAAACAGTATAGCTCTTGTCCACGGCCTGGACTGTGGCTGGGCTAAGAGGAGAGGCCCTGGCTTTTAGAGTAAAGAGGAGGCTCTGGGCTCAAAAGAAAAAGAAGCAAAACAGAACATGAACCAGATCCAGGACACTGACCTCAAAAGCCCAAGCAGGTGAATGCACTGCTGGAACCTACAGTGACAAACGCGATGCCTGGAAAGCCCGGCCTGGGGAGGAGGCTATGGCCGAAGGGGCTGAAAAGCCACCTACCAAACTGATGAACATGACAGACTCAAATGTCACGTTACCAAGTAATGAAATGGTATCTTTTGGAAATCCAGCATCTGTTCACCCTACTTCTGATTTTTTTTTTACTCCTTCTTCCTATATATTTTGGGGGAGCCACTCCCCTCATTCTTCATCCACGAGTTCCAACAGAGGTCACTCTATTTTCAGCTCAAGTCTAGTTGATCAGAATGATATTTCTCAAATAATCATGACTGGTTCAGGGTGCACACAACTCTCCTTGGAACAGTCAAGACCAATGGGACTGAATTTTAGAACTTTTCTTTGAACCAACAGAACCATAGACTTGCTCTTACTTGCTCTTTTCCTTTGGACTTGAACTTGCACGAAAAGTAGGCAACGCTACTGTACTACCATGTATCCTCTGGGGGAGAATATGTCTAAAAATGGAATCAACCCAGAGGAATCGGAACAAGGAGGTAGAGAGGGAGAAACCAGATTCTAGCGCCGTACTTTGAGCACCTAAATCCAACCACACCTGAAACTGATCCTGCCCTCTCCCCTGCATTCTTCAGTGACAGCAGTCAACAGATTCTTTCTTTTGTTGAAGCCAGTTAGCTTACAATCAAAAGAGCCCAAAATGAGTGTCCTCATAGTTAGTATTTATGAAACAGCTACAGCACCAGGTCCCGTGCTCATGCTTGGAATACAGGATGAACAAGACATGCAGGAGCCCAGCCCTCAACAGTTCACTGCTCACCAGGGAAGACAAACGTCAGACCAAAAAGTGTTCAAGGCATTATCATATACTCATATGACATTCGTGTTTCTTCCTCAGAACTCTCCAATGCCTTTCTAGTACACTTGGAAGAAAATCCAGACTGCCACCGTGCCCCCCAAGGTGCCCCCTCGTCTCTGGCATCCTTCCTTTGCTTGCTCACTCCAGCTGCACTGGTCTGCTTTCTGTTCCCCAGAAACGCCATGCTCATTCTCTCTTTTATACTTGTTCTTCTCCTCTACCCAGGAGGCTCTGCCTTCAAATCTCTGCATGGCTATTTTTCTCCTGACATTTATGTTTTCAGCTCAAATGTCACATCTTGACCATCCCAACTGAAGTAGCTCCCACTCCATTGTGGTGTTTTATTTTCTTCACTATATGAAATCATCTCACTTATTTATTTTCTTGTTTATGGCTTGTTTCTCCCTTAGAACATCAATTCTATGAGAGGAAGGTCCTTGTTTGCCTTCTTCACCAGCATAACCTGTGTCTTCAGTCCAGCAGGACCTAATAGGTGTCCCATAACATTGAAGCGGGTGAATAAACCAACAGTGTGGAGAGTTGAGGCCCAGGAGTAACACAAAGAGAGACTATCTTGGCTTTCAGGCATCTAGGAAGGCTCCAGAAGAGCTTGGAGGATGAATCCTCAGAAGAACAAGGGGCAGGAGAGGTCCTTAAAGGCGCAAACGGCGTGAATCAAGGCACAGGGAGGCCAACAGCCTGGCATTTTGAACCAGCTGCAACATAGTTGGGAAAGGCAGCAATGAAAGCTAGGGCTGGTAAGGTGGACGAGAGGCAGGCAGCCAAGAGCCTTGAGTCTCACTGAAATTCTCAGGGCTTCATCCCCAGGAGTGACTGATTGTTCTCAGAAGAGAGAAGTGAATGAGATCTTTATCAAGGCTTACCCGATAAAGGTGTACTGAGGGGGTGCCTGCTTGGTCCGGCCCATGATTCGAATGTCACAGATGGCAGCTTCAGTTGAATCTCGTGGGATGAATTTAATACACAGCCTCTTCTTTCTAAAAGCCACTTCCTCTGAAGAAAAAGACAACAACAGAAAAGATGTGAGTCTCCCAGAGATACCAAAATCGAACTTCTGAACACCAAGGCTCCCTATCACCTTGCCTTCTTGGCAGTGCAAGTGACTGGTCACCCAGGACACCTGACAGAAGAGCTGGGCTCTCCCATCCTGCCCTCCTTGAGGCCACAGTGGACAGGCTGCCATTACATAGTAGGTGTCAGTCAGGACCTGACCCCAAACATCCCCTAAAAAAGGGCTCCCAGGGGTACATGCATCTCTGCAAGGAGCAGCAGCCTGGCAACAAACCCACGGGCCTGGCTTCCAAAAGCCATGACCAAAGTCTCTGCTCAAGTCATCAGATACCTACACGCTGGGTCCTGAGTATTTACATGTTTTACACATGGACTTTTTTTAATCATAGAAAGTTTCAAACATACCTAGAAGTAGAAAGAACAGTACAATAAAACTACATGTTCTGATAACATTGGGAAAAGAGAGGACACCGAACTGTGCACATAAGAGATAGACGACAGATGTTAAAACCAACCAATGTGTCCACAACACCACATTGCCATTAACGCCAAACACTAGGCTATACAGATAAACACATAAACACCTGAATGATCAGACAGGGATCAGTGAATAGAGGTATACTCTAGACCAAGGAAGGAGCTCTGGTAGCATAGTGCCTAAGGCACTTGACTGCTAACCAGAAGGCTGGTGGTTCAAATCCACCAGCCACTCCTTGGAAGGAAGGTTGGGCAATCTACTTCTGTAGTGACACTGCCTTGGCAACCCAAGGATGGGTCGCTATGAGTCGGGGCCAACTCGATAGCACATAACAACAACAACTAGACCAAGGATAGATGCAGCTGAGGCTTAACTTGTACAGACACCTGCGATACAAAATACCTGCAGTCCTTACAGAAACAACAGAAGACAGACACAGAGTAATCCCTCACAGACATCCCAACACTATGGGAGAGAGATCCAATAGAGCTACTACCTCAGGACCATAGTACTGGGGTACACCAGACTCAATTGGCACAACAAAATACATAAAAGCATTGCTCCACATCCTACATTGTTGAGTAGCAACTGAGGTCTTAAAAGTTTTCAAGCAGCCATCTAGGATGTAGCTAATGGTCTCCTAGCGTCAGAAGTAAAGAAGAACTCACACACACACACAAAAAAGGGCATTTAAAACCAATCAGCCCTAGGATACGATGGCCCTCAAGACCAGAAGAATCGGGTGGTGCCCGGCTACCAATGCAACCACTCAGGAAAGGATCAAATCTGGAGATCCGGGGTAGAGTGGGAGGTAAAACGTGGAACAAAATCCAAAAACTCAATTAATAACCAGAATTACTGGTCAGATGAAGTCTGGTGAGAATCCCAATACTATGGCCCTGAAATACATTCGATGACTGGAATAAAACTCACCCCCAGGGGCGGGCTCTCAGCCCAATAGTTAACAAGATGTACACGCAGACCACTCAACCCAGGATGCCGCAACCACACACTCAATGGTAATACATCCCTTAAAGCAATAGACATGAGATGCCAAAGGACCAACATTCAAACTGAGGAAATGCAGGACAAACAGGAGTGTGTAATTATGAGGGGCACAGGGGGAGTGTTGCAGGGTAGGGAGGGGAGGAGACTGGGTTAGGGTTGGACATGGCGAACAAGGAATGAAACTAAATGTACTCGTGACTTTGAATGTAAAACAAGCTCTTAAAATAAAAAAAAAAATAAAAAACAGAAACAAAAACAAAAAAAACTACATGTTCTCATCATCCAGTTTCAACAACTGTCAATGGACAAGCCTGTTTCATCTCTTCCCTTGCCCCATTTATTTTGACTGGAGTATTTAAGATGAATCTCTGACAACCAAGTCACGTTACCCATAAATCTCAGTAGGCATCTGTGATGGACAGTTTTCCAGCACGACCACCATTTATTATCATTCTCAATAAAATGAACAAAAATTCTTTACTACCACCCAACAGTTTGTCTATATTCAAATTTTCTTCATTATCTCAACAATGTCATTTTACTGTTGGTTTGTCCAGAGCAGGATCTAGACATTTTGTTGTTAAAGCTCTTAAATCCCTTTTATTCTGTAACAACCTCTATCCTTCATTTTCTTCAGGGCACTGGCAGGCTGGAGAAATTGGGACGAGCACTTCACGGTGATTCGTGTACTTCCTATGACGTCATTTCACAAGGCCTGCAGTCCAGCTGTGCCTTCCTGTCAGGCCCTGGTGGTGGTGGCCCAGTCCCTCGATTATAAAGTGCCCCAACAACCTTTGTCTGAATGGTTTTCTCAACCCCTAATGATTGCTGCCTAGAAATAATTTCATTAAAGGTTGCAAAACAGCAACCTTTTTAAAATTCTGTTATTCCTTCTGCACTTATTAGATCAAATTCTACTATTGAAATAACAACAACAAAAAAAAAACCTTCATCAATTACTGGTCTCCCTGAAATAGTCTGCACAGGAAAGGAAGGATAAATACATGATTCTTTTCTTTTATCAAGTTTTAGAGTTGGTGTAACTTCCAACAGTGACCAACAAAATGTTTATTTGTTCATTTGTGTTTTCAAACATGAGTTTCAATCAACTGCAACCATTCACATGAATCAGACAGATCTGAGTTGAAATCCCAACTTCATAATTTTCTGACATTGTTTCCTTAGGCAAGTTACTTAATTTCACTGAGCCTCAGTTTCATTATCTGTAAAGGGGTTAATGAAATCCCACCCTGTAGAGATGTTGGAAGGATTAAATGTGACAACATATATGGTTCTTTTAGCCCAATGCCTGGGACACTAAAAACCAGACCAGTTGCCATTGAGTGGATTCTGACTCATGGCGACCCCGTGGGCTTCAGAGTAGAGCCGCACGCCACAGGGCTTTCATGGCTGTAAATTTTCTGAGATCACCAGGCCTTTCTTCTGAAGCCCTCTGGATAGATTCAAACCACCAGACTTTCAGTTAGTAGCAGACCGCTTAACTGTTTGTGCCACCCAGGGCTCCCAGTAAGTGCTCGATTAAGAATAGCCATGAGTTCTCTTATCATCATTATTACAAGTTAACCTCTAGCACACATTTATTTTAGTGTTTGGTATTGACTTTCAAGAGTTTTTAGCTATGTCACAGGAAATAAGCAAAAAGCTAACACAACTGATTCAACCAAAAACCAAAACCCAACTTACTGCCATAGATTTGATTCTGACTCACAGTGACCCCCCCTGGGGTTTCCGGGGCGGTAGATCTTTATGGAAGTAGATCACCCAGTCTTCCTTCCATGGAGTAGCTACGGGTTTGAACCACCAGCCTTCTGGTTAGCAGTCAAATGCCTTAGGCAGTAGACCACCAGAGCTGGAATGAGAAGGGGGTGGGCAGCCCTACCTGCTGGTCTTGATGAGTTTACTAAGAAAGGAATTAAAATCACTGGTATTTTTTTGTTGGCAGTGGGCTTTTTTTGGGGGGTGGGGTGGGGAGTGAGTGTGGGGAGGTTGTTATTGGTGGTGGTTTTTTAGAAACTGTGTTTTCATTAAGTGAGGAGTCTGAAGATTTGAGGAAATCTATAACCTGTGAGAAGTCACGTCTTGAGTCTAGACCCCAATATTGAATCTAATGAGCCAGGGATGGTATCCTGGAGGGAAAGTCCATAACAATCCCGCACCTTCAAAAATTAAATTATTAGTGGATAACATTAGGTCTTTGAAAGTGTGAAGAAGATAAAACCTTTCCTCCAAGTAAACTAAAATGCAGGTATTTTATTTGTTTTTGCCACACTGTTCTTGGCTCCAGTCTTCCATCTACAGCAAACTCAGGGTAGGAAATGGAGCCACTAATTACACATGCTTAAGCAGGCCTAATTTTAAGTAAACATATTATACATAGTCAATAGAAATGTGTTCAGTCATGCTAATGAACACAGAGAAAGCACACAGCACTTCACTAAAACAAACAGCCTTCCCATTTTTAAGTGCTATATAGATTGCAACAAACTGTATTTTAAATTAATTACAGGAATCTCATATTTTTGGCTGACTTTACAAAACCAGGCCCTTAAATGCTCTCCGACTTCACAGGGCTGGCCATAGGTTTATCTGGTCAACTTGGGCTCTGTCCTCTGGGTAAGGTTCCAAGAAATGACTGTACAGCTGAAATGAAGAGGCCACCTTAAACTCACCCTCCTGTGTGATGAGGCACCTGGTGGAAGACTCAGGGCTGACCTCAGAATATCCTTGGTGCAGCAACCGACCCACCTCAGTTATAGGGGGAGGCTTTCAGGGTGATGAAATATTCTAAAATTGATTGTGGTGATGGTTGTACTCCGTGAATATACTAAAAAAGCATTGAACTGAACACTTTAAATGGGCAAATTGTACAATGTATAAAGTATATCTCAACTAAGTGGATACCAAAACAATCCAACCTATACATAAATAGTTAAAATCTATCTGTAAAAAGGACATACACATATGTGATTACACTATGGGACTGTGGTTAAAGTGTGGCCAGACTTGGGAAGACTTGCATATATTCTAGTCCCCTTTCTCTCTCCCCTACTTCTTCTAGATGTGTGACCTTGGATAGTTCTTTCATCCCTAAGTAGTCATTATGCCTTAGTTTTCTCATAAGTGAAATGGGTATGATGAGATCCATCTCCAAACAGTGATCTTCTGAAGATTCAATGAAACCCAGTATGTAAGCCCTGGTAGTGCAATGGCTGAGCACTCAGCTTTGAACTCCCCAGCCATTCCAAGAAAGAACAGACCCAGAAATGTGCTCTTGTAAAAACTCAGCCTAGGAAATCCTATGGGGCAGTTCTACTCTGCACTACAGGGTCCCTAGGAGTTGGGATCAACTTGACAGCACAGAACAACAGTATGTAAAGTATTTATCACAGGGGTTAGCATGCAGTAAATACATGCTGAATATTAGCTATTATGATTATTTACTAATACATATAATATCAAACAACTGAAAGCAAATCAATCTCCAAAAGTGAGGAGAAGATTAAAAAAATAAAAGTATACTATACAAGGGCATCTACATGCTTCACTCAAATAACAGTTATGGGGCTCTGTGTAGATATGGAAAGCCTGGGCTATACGAAATCTAGTAAAAAATGAAAAAATAAACCCACTGCCATTGAAAACACAGCACAAAACAGTGGGTCCACAATGGGATTAACTATAGAAGAATAAAGTATGTATGACAAAGAATGAGATGCAGAATTTCGTAAGTGAACCCTGGGTCATGATCCTCTGTCTTTTATTTACTGCTTCACTGTTGTGGGTATCCTAAAGTTGGCTAATGAGTAATTAATAATAAAACAACATGTCACAATACACCTAAATGAGGAGGCACAATTATCCAGAGATCTCCCAGCACTTTCAGTAACTGATGTGCGTGACAAGGACCCCAAAGCACTCCAGGATCCTGCCTGAAGAAGCTTCCAATTCATTAGCACATCACCTCTGCGTGGTGTCACACACAAAAACCAAACCAAACTCTCGGCCATCAAGTCGATTCGACTCACAGCGACCCCTCCTTGGGGTTCCGAGGCAGTATCACTATGGAAGTAGATTGCCCAACCTTCCTTCTGAGGACGGGTTGGTGGGTTTGAACCGCTAGCCTTAGGCACTGTGCCAGCAGAGCTCCCAGTGTCACACGGTGGTCCGAGTTTCTGGTCCAACTCCAATCCTATGTACTCTAACTTGTGGTCTTTCTGGTTCTGATTTTTCTCATTTGCTCTAAAAGCCAAAAATGGGGGTATTATTGCACTTGTATTCCCAGGACATCATTTGATTTTTTTTTTTTTTTCCTTCTGTTTCTGGGTCTCGTACCAAGCTTGGCTTCGGCAATACCAGAGGATGGACTAAAGAGGAACTATAACCAGTTTCACCATTTTACTCCCGAGCAAGTCAATGCAGTAGCATCTATCAGGAGGCACCGTTCTAAGAGAAAAGGACATAGCGTGCTGCCACCCAGAGTACTCCACAAACTCCTTGGAGAACCGCGTCAGATACCTGTCAAGAGCAAGGTATGCGGTAAGGCCTCCTAAAATGTTTCTGAAGAAAAATGCACATTAAAAAAATCTAAAAATATACCTGGAGGAAGAAAACTCTCATTATGATGAGTGGTACTAAAGGATGACTCACGTGTGTCCACTGTCTCCTGAATCGGGATGAAGCCTACAGGCAGGGTGTCCTTGATGTCAATGAGCTTCATATCCACTAACACGTTCCCTAAATGACTCTTGGGAAGAAAGAAAAGAGACACAGACTATTAATCTGAACATGCCTATGGTAGCTTTGCCATTTTTGCTTCAAGATGCATATTTAACACAATGACTCGTGCAGCTTTACGACAGCAGGTTAATTAGAGAAGGTGCCAGTTAATGTTCCCCAGCGGTTACACAGGGACTCGGGTGGCCCGCGGGAGGGAGTTTGATCTGCAGAACCTCAGAACTACTCACTCAAACGTGGCTTTGGTTAGCTGCATGAGCAGCTCCTGGAGGGTGGGGGCCCTGGGGAGGCTTTCTAGACATAACCCAGCAGACGGTGGCTGTGCACACATGTCCCAGGACCAGGCTGCCACTCTGTCCTGAGGGTTAGCACTCAGGGCCCTGGGTTTTACAGCAAATCCCTGTGGTCCTCGTTGTGGGGGGGAGAGATGCATCTGAACCTAACAGAGAACCAGTCACGCTCCTAAATGATCCCAGTCTACATGCCGACACATATTCTGGTTACTAGATACATTTAATAAAATCCCAAGAATCATAAACTAATATGGAGTGAAAGCCCTGCATCATCATCCTCACTATTACACATCTTCTAAAATGACACGCACACAGGGCCTCTTAAAGCTTCTACTCGGTGGTAGTTTTGGAGGTCCACGGCACACAGCTTCTGTAACCAGTTTAGAAGTATCTTTCTAAGATAGCACACCATTCTGTAACTGCAAGAAAGAATTCTCTGCAAACATGCTGCCGCTTGCCGTCCCATTTCATGTTGGAAATGAGCTCTGAAGATACCTACTCTACAACTTAAATATGCAGGGCCACCTTGGAGATTTCATTAGAATCTTCAGAGTAATTTGCATCTTAGTTCTCCTTCTCTCTACTCAGAGCTAGTTAAGGAAAGAATTATAGATTCCAATCCCAAAATCTCTGCTGTAAGGATGCTAGCAGTGCACTCCAGTGCCTGGCTTCCAGAAGTTTCTCATTGTTAAAATCCAGCATGAGCACTTGCTCAGTTTACTTTGTCCTGCATCCCTGGGCGTACATCTAGTTGGTCAGCCCATTACTTGGCACATGGCAACAAGTTCTCAGGCCTTTATTTCTATCTTGCTTTGAAAAGAAGGGCCTCTGTTTCTATCTCTGGGGACAGAGGAGCCAAGTCACCCATATCCCACACATTTAAAAAACTGCCAACACTACCTCTGAAAGGCTAGCAGGGCCTTCTGCACATCTGAACTACATGCTATATTCTCGCGTGGCACACTCTTCTTTCCTTCTTATCAATTTGTGAGGTTACTTATTTAATATCTATCTCCCTCTAGAGTTTAAAAACCATCAGGGCCAAAACTATCTCTGTTACAACTATAAACCTGAGCCTAGCATAGTGCTTGGCACACGGTAGATGTTCAATGATTGTTTGCTGACAGGTTAATCTTCTTGGTATATTTCTCAACTGGAAGGGCCACTTGGAGTTAGAATAAAATTGGATTTGCTTGGATGGCAAATCTACACTCTATCAATAAAACTATTTAAAGTATATGTAACAAATACTTTATAAGCCCAAAGTATACAAAGGAAATAAATTCTTCAATTCAACTGCAAAGGTCAAAATGGCAACTGTAACTTATGACCAGGTGTTTTTATGGCACTGTTACCACAAAATTGTTTCCTTCTCACAGAGCTGTTATATTTGCCAACGATGTAATATTGCTACATTGCAGGTAGTGGGGTCTCAGGAAGACAACCTAAGGTGCAGTGCAGCAAGTGGGAAGTGGGAGCCTCTCTGAGGTGGAATAAATCTCTGCCCAAGCAGGAAGGATTTGGACCGTTAACCTAACTAGCAAACATTAGCTCCTTGCAGAATTGCCTGCTCTAATCTATCATAATTTTTTTTTTTTCATGGCAGCTGCTTTTCCATGTCATCACTGCTTTCTGCATTGAGAAATTAATAACTTGGTATGTTTTCTTGCCCTGTAGATGGATAGGCATTCATCAATATCCTTCTCAAATGCCTTCCACTTGACACGTTGGGCTTTACAGAAGTCAACTGCAAACCACTTAGCAACCTCACCCTCCACACACTCTACAAATGTCCCTAATCATAAAACCAGAGCATCAGTGGTCCGGCCATTAACAGAACCATCAAAAAACCCTCCTGTGCATACAAAGAGGGAGGCTGAGTTGTCAAAGCTCCCCGCAGTCCAAGGGTGGTCCCTCCTTGCACCAAGCTGCCACTGTAGTGAGTTTAATACAGTAGGTCTGCGACACCATTAATTTTGCTTGTTCCCCTCCCCTCCCCCATCCTGTGCTCTCTTTCATTTCCTCCTCATAAATATGAAGAACGTATTCCCAATCCTTGTTGAGCAAATGATTCATGCCAAAAGCCCAATATGCACTGACTCAGGGTATTTATATTGTCTCTGGTAGCCAGTATTTGCTAGTATACTGTAATTATTTTTGACAACCTTGCATTTAAGGTAGCCACAGATAACCAACTTAATATTCAAATGTTCATAAATCCTTCTGTTTAATATCCTCCCTACCTAATCTATGTACATTATTATTACAGGTAATACAGAAAGTACAGGGCATGAAAAGTGCAATTAATCTCGATCCTTCCCCAGGAAGCAATGTCACTCCAAAGCCAGGTTTCTGTATTAATAGCATTACTGGGGGGAAAGAATTTAGGTTCCAAAGGAGTCTCCCAAAACTCCTACATTGGGAGTCTCAAGTCACCTAATTAAGAATCTGTCCGGTCTTGAGATCCCACATCCCTCCCTTTACAGCTGTAAAAAGAAATATGCTATGCAAAGTCTTGGTTCAGACTGAGGGCCAGGAGTGACTGGCTGTAACAGATTAAAAATGTACCTGATTTCTGTTCCACTCCTGCACTGGCAAGTGAGCCCTGCCACCCCACCTGCTAACTATATCCGTTCGCATCCCACTGTAGGCCCATTCACTCTTTTTCTAAAAACAAAACACTTACTCCCCTGCTTCAAAGAAAGGCAGAGATTTCACTCATTGCCCTAATCCTCATCTCTTTACATGCTTTTATCACACACATCCACACACACACACACCATGCTCAGCCCTCAGGGAGTAAGAAGACACACAAAGCAAGCATTCAAAATCATCTGTTTAATGTGAAATGAATATTGACTAAATCAATACATTTTCTATAATACACTTGCCCATAACACTCAAAATTAACACGTGCCAGGGACTTTTCTTTGTCATTTTCAGACTTGCCACTGTCCACACTCCAAAGGATGCAGGGCTTCTTCTGGCCTAGAGAACCAATACCCACAACGTTTGGGGGACAGTCCAATGAAGAGAAAAAGAAAAAAATGATCACAGAGATTGGGGCTGTCCTCTGGGGCCATGTTTTTAAAATGAAGCCTCTTCAGTCGGGAAAGAAGGCGGCTCAGTGGAGAGCAGTAATAACAGCAGGAAACCACGGGGTAGAGAGGGTGTGAACACAAGTTTGGGCAAATCCTCGGGAGTTTTTCCCTAAGGCCCTGGGTGGCAACAAATACACTGACCTTCTGTACAAGGTGGAAGCCCACGGACAGAGGAGAGGTTACAACACCTAAAACTATGAATAGTTTTCAGGAAACGATTTAGGAAACTCTAGGAACAAAGGTAGCATAGTGGCTAAGACACTTGCCTGCTAACCAGACGGCTGGCGGTTCAAACCCACCAGCCACTCCTCGGAAGGAATGTTGGGCAATCCTACTTCCGTAGTGATACTGCCTCGAAACCCAAGAAGGGGTCGCTATGAGTCAGGGCTGACTCGATGGCACATAACAACAACAACAACAGGAACAAAGGAGCTGGGAGAGTGCACTGATGTGTGTGGATGCCAGATAGGGTGCTGGGGGTGGGGTGGGGACTATCCCTAACTTAATGTCTAGAATGACCTCCTCTTTGGTGTCTCCTCAGGTGGGACAATGACCCTGCGGGATCTATTCGGATTCATTAAAGTCTGCAGTGCAGACTTTCCTTTTCCACTCAGTGGTCTCCTTCCTGGTATTGAAAACGCACTTCAAAGCCTGTATTAAGATCTTCAGGAGTCTCTAGGTGGTGCAAACGGTTATGCTCGCTTGACTACTAGCTGAAAGGCTGGCTGTCCGACCCTATCCAGACCTGCCTCAGAAGACAAGCCTGGTGGCCTGCTTCTGAAAGGTCCCAGTCTGAAAACTCTACGGAGCACAGTTCTGCTTTGATCCATGTGGGGCCACCATGAGTCGGAATCAACTTGACGGCAACTAAGAACAACATTATAAACAAATGTAGTATGAACAATATGACTCATCTGCACATGTTAAATGATAGTGTCTGAAAACCACATTAAAAAGATTTTCAGTTTGAACACCAGGACTTTCCCCTACTCCATGATAAAACTCTGCACTTGACAATGAGCATACATTACTCTTGCAATTAGAATAAAACATTAAAGCGCTCACTTCTCCCTCAGTCCTGAACACATTAGGAATGACTGTCCTAACAAAGCATTATCAATGAACAACAGGAAGGACCAGTGGAAGAGTACAAGCCAGAGAACCCTGTGACTGTTCACATTCAAAAAGCTGCTAATAGAACCTGTAAGGACCCAGTAGAGGCAGTCCCCAGGGTAGAAAAGAGATCCGTTCCTAACTATGTCCTTAAGAATTTGCAGGCAACTCACAACAGATGCACACGGCTCTTATTTAGCCTTACTTTAGTGTGAGAAACGAGCTCTGGTGGTGTTATGGTTTAGGCAGTGGGCTGCTAACCAAAAGGTCAGTGGTTCAAACCCACCAGCTGCTCTGTGAAGGAAAGATGGGGCAGTTTGCTTCCATAGAGATTTACAGCCTTGGAAACCCTGTGGGGGTCTCTATAAGTCAGAATCAACTTGATGGCAGTGGGTTGGTCTGGTTTGGTTTGGTTTAGTGCAAGAAAGGAGCTCTGGGGGCGTAGTGGTTAAAGCACTCAGCTGTTAACCAAAGGTTGGTGGTTGGAACCCACTAGCCGCTCT